GTCTAAAAAGCTAACAGAATATTGAGAATCATTAGGAAAGCAATAGATAAGAAGACAGAAAATATCATGTTGCCTCTACATAAAGGCATGGTACGCCCAAAACTTGAATACTACATGCAGATCTGGTCACCTCATTTAAAAAAGATATATTGGGTTTGGGAAAGATACAGAAAAGGAAACAAAAAGTATTAGGGGTAAGGAACAGATTCCATATGAGGAGAGATTATGACCAGGACTTTTTAGTTTGGAAAATAAATGACTAAAGGGGAGGGAGGATATGTGAGAGGTCTAGAATATCATAAATGGCGTGGAAAAATAGTATGAAGAAATGTTATTTACGCCTTCACTAAAATAATACCCAAAGATATGTATAGGCAGCAGATGTAAAATAACAAAACAAATTTCTTCACGGTCAACCTGTAAAACTCTGTGGCAAGAAAAAGGTCCAGACTTTAACAGGATTCCATTAAGAACAAAATAAGTTCAAGGAAGATCGGCCCATCAATGGCTACTAACCAGGATGGGCAGGGATGGTATTCCTAGCCTCTGTTTACCAGAAGCTGGGAATTGGCCACGGGGATTGGATCATTTGATAATTGCAGCTTCTGTGCTTGTCTCCTGAAGCAACTACCCTTGGCCATTGTTGGAAGACAGGATACTGGATTAGATGGACCTTTGGTCTGACCTAGTATAGCTGTTCTGATGTTCTTCTTATAGACCCCAAATATATCTATCCCCTGCAGTAACTCACTAGACCCCACTCCCCTCTCAGAGCTGAGAGAGATCCCAGGAGTCCTGATAATCTGTCTCTCTCTCTCTCTCTCCATAGAGTTAGTAACAAAGTAACTATACAGGAGACCCTTGTGATTCATGGAATCACTATTGACTGTTCCATGTATTCACAGGTGTCTCATGGCCTGGGCGGAGAGTGAGTTCCGTGCAGCTCCCAAACTCACTGTGGGGAGCTCACTGTGGGGCCAGGATCTGTGGCTCCTACTATTTCTGAATGTTGCCATTCGCAGTGGTGCCAGGAACACATTCACTATGAATGGCAAGGGTCTCCTGTATATATTAAAATGTTAAGGCTAACCAGTGTCCTTTAAGTGACTGTTCACAAGATGTCAGAATATGTCAGTATAAGAGCTGAGTGGGACTAATATTTATTTAATTTTCTTTCTTTATATGGGAATTAGATACAGTGCTCCTGTCAGTTAACTGCTAAGTTATCTGCCAAAAAACCCAAACCCACCCTACCTTTCCAATGCCTTAGTAGCCCCTGGAAAGAGATGATATTTTGTGTGGGGGAGAGGGCAGATGAGATTGGTCCCCCCTCAATTTGATGCTTAGCTTGTATTGAGCATGCCCAGTAAAACTGCTGAAGTTGCTAGCCTGAGTCTGCCTCCATTTTTTCACTCTACCCCACCATCATAGCATGCAGCGGTTGCCCTCCAATCTGAAATGGCTCCCCTCTTTGCTCTGAGTCTCAAACGCTAATGCTGTGATTTGTAATCACAGGCGAGCCCAGATCACACAGAGAACAATAACACTTCAGAAATGCAGTGCTCCTCACTAACTCACCTTTCCCAGAGAGTGCTTGGGGCTCATATGCCTTCCCTCAGGAAGGCAGGATCCTCTGTTCCCAACCTGCTTCAGCCCTCCAACAGCCTTCCTCACCTTAAACTAGTGCAAAATGGCTCTGTCTTCTAGCCCTCACCCCTTTCATCCATTTGTAGATTCCTGCCAGTTACCTATTTTTTTTTGTTGTGCCTTTTGGTAACTTTCCACTGCTCCCAAACCAGAGCAGGACGTAAGAACATCTTCTCCCAGCTAGAGCAAACCTATTGTGACTAGGCAGTCACAATGCTGTTCCTCCATTGTTATCTCAGACTTGGCAGGGATGTGACATGACCTGGCTAACTCATGGTGGATCCACCTAAGTATAGGGTTAGTGTGACACCGCAGTTTCATGATACAGTTTCATAAGTTCACCCATAATTCAGAAGCAGTAAACCTGGAACCTTTGCCTTGGAGCTGCCTGTCCCCAGGAGCCTCGTGCTTGCGATACAGAGCAGGGAAGGGAGAGGAGGGGGTGCTAATGTCAGGGGGCCCCCCCCCCCCCCATGTGGGGACACAACAGAGCTTGAGATGGAGGGAGTTTGCTGGCTGCTTTTGAGAGTGGTGCAGGGCCAGGGCAGGGGTGAGCCTGCCTTAGCCCCACTGCACTACCAACCAGGAGCCACCTGAGGTAAGCAGTGGCCAGCTGGAGCCAGCTCTGAATCCCTGCCCCAGTCATGGACCCGCTCCAGCACCCTAACTTTCTGCTCCAGGCTCAGCTCAGAGCCCCTCTCACACTCCATATCCCTTAGTCCAAGACCAGAGCCTGTGCCCCAACCCTCTGCCCCTACTGATGAAAGAGAGGGAGAGTGGGGGAGGGAGGATGGAGTGAACAGGGGCAGGGCCTCACAGAAAGGTCATGAAGGAGGCGGGGGTAAGAGTATTTGGGTTTGAGGTAGATCCAGGTTTTAAAACCATTTAAATTCAAAAAGTGATCTCATGCTTAAAAAGGTTGGAGACCCCTGCGCTAAATCATCACACAGGAATTTAAGGCTGAAAGGTTCAAGAATATAGCACCCCTAAAAGTAAAGATGGTAAAAAAATGTGGAGAGATAATTCATAAAAATATTTGCCTCATTCTTCTTGAAATTTGAAAAAAAATAAAAATTTCAGCCAGTTTTACTGAAACTCTTATTTAGGACAGTGGTCACCAACCAGTAGATCAGGATCTACCGGTAGATCTTGGAGCCTCTGACAGGTTTGGCCAGGAAGCTATCAAGTGCTGGCATGTCAGTTGCCCCTCCACCCACTGTCATGCTGCTCCTGCCCTCTGTCTTGGAGCTGCCCCTTGGAAGCCTCCTGCTTGCTGTGCAGGGTGTGGGAGGGAGAGGGGGGGGGGTGCTATATTCTGGGTGTCCTTCCTCCCCCAAATCCTGTACCCCATCTCCACACAAAAAGAAGGGGATGGAAGGAGCTCAGCAATGCAAATCTCTGTCTGTCACACACACTGTGAGTGTCTCTGTCACTCTCACAAACACACACTGTCCTTCCCTCTCATCTCCTGACCCAACGTGTACATGGGGGGTTGTTACTACTTTACTGCTTGCAAAGTGGGTTAGTTTTAGTTTTTGACTGGTCTGTGCATTGCATAACTTTCATTTCTCTCTTATGCCTAAATTTAATTCTTTGAGTTCTAAAATGCCTAACCTGTCATGTCTGCAGTGATTATCCCTGTGGTTGGTTGTGCTCCTGGAGGTGGCTGGCATGTCCCTGCAGTCCCTGGGGGGTCAGAGCAGGGGCTCTTCACACAATGTCCTTGCCAGCAGACACCACTCCTGCAGCTCCCATTGATCAGTGATGGGCCAGTGCCTGTGGATGAGGGGCAGCACATGGAGCCATTGCTGTACATGCAAGCTGCTTTTGGGGGTGGGGTGAGGGTGGGGCTGCCTTGGCTCTGCTGCTCCATCCCTGGGGCAGCAGTCCAGCTGCTGCCAGGGTGGGCAGGGCTTGAGCCCACCACTCTGTGCTCCCCATGCAATTGCCCTAGCCCCATGTCCACTCCAGAGCCCACCCCACCTCCCTACCTTCAGAGAGTCCCTTATCCTGTGTCTGGTCACTCCCAGGTGGGTGGAGGGGGTGTTGGGTGGCTTGAAGGTAGGGAGTTGGAGTGGGATCTCTAGTGAACTTGGGGATGGGCATTAGCCTCTGGAGCACAGGGTGGTGGGCTTGATCCTGCCCCCTTCCACCCACCCAGGCAATAACTGGGCTGTTAACACAGGCTGCCTGTAGGATGGACCTGCCTCCTGTATTAGGAAGGCAGGATAAGGGACATGCTGAAGGTGGGGTGGCCCAGGGCAGTGCCTCTCAACCCCCTGGGACACGCAAGAGAAATCTGAGGGCATATCAACACAACTGAAATTTGGAGAAAACTGAATTTTTGTTTTACGTTTTACAGCATTTGTATTCTTTTTTACGTTTTACACCCAAATATTTCATCACCCGCCCAGCTACAATTAAGTTGTTTAAACAAATGTGTTGCAACAGTAAAACGAAAAAAGTGTGTGTGTGAGAAAACTGTAGGTACTGGGGGTACTTATAATTTTTTTAAAGGCGGTATTTTATAAAAAAGGTTGAGAAACACTGGCCTAGGGGATAGGGCATTTGCCACATGCCCAAGACTAGAGCCTGCACCCCTACCCCAGCCTGGTGAAAGGGAATGAGATTCAGGGAGGAAGGACAACAGAGCAAGCATGGTGAGGCCTCGAAGCAGGGGTGGAGCAGGGACAGGGCCCCAGAGAAGCGGTGAAGGAAGCCAGGAAAGGGTATGTGGGTTGGAGGTAGATCTTACATTGCACTTAAATTGAAAAGGTGATTTTGTGGTTAAAATGGTTGGAGATCCCTGATTATGGGGCATATGGAAAAAATAGATTTTCACAGCAGCCACTTGACTCCAGTATGTCAACATTGTAGTCAGGGGTAAGGCTTTGGGTTGAGGCATTTGAAATCAAGGTGGTAGTCAATGTACAGCATGAGTCAAATATTATTATTCCAAGGGGGTTAATGATTTTGTTTGTCCAAAGACATGTATGTCTGTAGCTTGTAGCACTGCTGTAGCTGGCACAGTCATGTTCAGCATTTCAGGAATTCCATCACTCATCCATTGTGAGCAGAACATGCTCAGTTGGGAGCTGCTATCACTTCTGCTCCTGGCTAAAAGCAATTGAGCTTTGGTGTGTGAAGTGGCACGTATGTGCTTCTGTACAGAACACAGCAGGCTTAATACCCGGGGCTCATGTAGGTTTGTTATATTTCTGTGCGTTCAGATTCCCACTACCCCCTCTGCTAATAATCTGATTGGTACTAGTCATGTGTTTGCTAGGAGTTTGAAAGGCATTTTGTGTAAATAGCCCCTATTTCCTAATAACTCTGTACCACTCTCTAAATAGTTTACTGAAAGGAAGGGAAAAAAGGAGCTGAAATGCAAACTGAGCATGAAAATCTTTGGCAATGAACTCAGCATTTTGGACTGTAAAGATATAAAGAAACAATTGAAACATTATTCCCTGAGTGTGGCGGAGCTGGCCGTCAAGCTTCTAAAGGTAAAATGAACCATTTTGCTGTCTGAAAGTGGGTGCTTGCAGAAACTCAGTTTGAACTGGTATGTAAGAGGTGACAATCAGGGATCACTATTTCATTACTTTGAACCAAGTTAGAATTTTTTTTAGAAACCTCTGAGACTGGGAAACACATGTGGTATACTATGGGTTGCAACAGAAGAGTATATGTTTGTGTCGCTATGAACAGCATTTGGTTTAATGACTTGATTATACTTGTCCCTGTTCTCCTTGTCCAAAAATGTTCTGACTTCAGAGCAAAATACCTCATCTTAAAATATGCACAGAGCTTACTCTAGCTGCATTTCTGTCCTTGCCAAAGAAAAACTTTGGTGCAGGTTTCTCATTAATTTCCAAAACCAGCTCAATAAAAAGGACTTGCCATGGAAGGGGAAATGCTATGGAAAACAGAACTGATGGTTCTGTCCCAAGAAAAAGTTTGGAAAAATCCTTGTGGCTGACTTGATGATGTTCATAACAACTATATTTTGCTTCATTATTTTGCCATAGGGACAAGAGGTCCAGTTTAATAAAAGATTAAGTCTGGCTACCGAAGAATTGCTTTTTCCATCAATTTCAGGCTTTCAAGTTAGACTGGCTTTAAATGCTTCAGCAGCAATCAATGTAAAGATCAAAGGGAATATGGATTTCAAACAACAATCAAATTTTTTCATAAATGGATATATCAAACCAAGGTAAAAAGATGCTTTATAAAGTAGAGAGCAGGTACACTTTATAATTCAGGTACATTATTGTTAAATATTAATTACTTTGAAACATATTCTGATTTGACTGTGGATTGTACATTGGTATCATTAAATGTCTCCTAGCAACCTTTGAAAGAGCTTGGCTGACATTTTTAACCCAAGAACTTCAGTAACAGAAGGGAGGCAGCATGGTCTAGTGCTGTGGTCTCCAAATTTTTTAACCACAAGATCACTTTTTTAATATAAGTCCAATGTAAGATCTACCTCAAACCCAAATGCCCTTGCCTGGCTTCCTTCCCCACCTTCTCTGAGGCTCCACCCCTGCTCCACCCCTTCTCCGAGATCTCACCACGCTCATTCCATTCGCCTTCCTCCCCAAATCGTAATCACTTTCACCAGGAGTACCCCACAGGCCCCACTCATGCAGGGTCCTGGCAGCCAACATTAGTTGCCCCAGGGATGGAGCTGACCCCTGCTTTGGGAAGCAAAATAAGGGACACTCTGAAATAAGGGGTCTGAAGTGGTTTAGGGGATTGGGCAGTGGCCCGAGCATCACTGGGTTCAAGTCCTCCTCCCCCCAGGAGTGACTAGACAGACAACACAGCATAAGGGTCTCTCTGAAAGTAGGGAGGTGGGTTGCGTTGGGTTGGGTTCTTGAGTGGACTAAGGAAGGGTATGTCTACACTACCCCGCTAGTTCGAACTAGCGGGGTAGTGTAGACATACCCCCACAGAAAAACAAGTTAGGGGTCACACACAAGTGAGACGTGAGAAGCAAAACAAAAACAAAAACAAAAAAAACCCTCAAAGCTTTACTGATGTGCTCCCCTGACTGAGGAGCCAGACACTCCCCCAGTCCCCACATTCCTCTCACACACCAGAGCCTGGGGGTAAGGGGCAGGCTAGTAGATTTTGTGTGCTCCAGCCGCAGAGGGCAGGGTGGGGCTGGAGCACTAACTCAGGCTCCCCAATGGTATGGGGGGGGATCTCCGACCAGGGGGGGCTGGATCCAGGCAAGCCCGGAGGAAATTCAAATCCCGGGCTTCATTAGCAAGTGCGGTATGCATACATTACCCCGCTAGTTCGAACTAGCGGGGTAGTGTAGACATACCCTAATATAGGCTAAGGGACCTGCAGGAGGTGGAGTGGGAGTGGGGTTTCCAGTGAACTCAGGGATAGGGCATCAGCCTCTGGACCACAGGTTGGTGGACACAGGTAGTGCCTAGCAGCCAATATTAGTTGACCCAGGGATGGAGATGACTCCTGCATTAGGAAGGCAGGATCAGGGATACCCTGAAGGTGTGGTGGTGGTTTCTAGAATGGACTAGGCAATAGGGCATTTCTCCTCCCCCCACCTCCTCTGAGGAATCCTCTCCCTGTCTCAGCCTATCCTGGGAATGACCAGACAGCTGACCCTCCAAAGGCAGGGTGATGGGTTGGGTCCTGGAATGGACTGGGGGATACAGCATTCGTTCAAGTCCCACCCACCCACCCTGGGAGCATCAAGACAGCCAACACAGGATAAGGGAACCTCTGAAGGTAGGGTGGCTGTGTGGGTCCTTGAGTGGACTGAGGGATAGAGCTGGCTCCTGCATTAGGAAAGCAGGATAAGGGGCCCTCAGAAGGTAGGGAGGTGAAGTGGCCTGGAGGAGACAGACAGCTGCCTCAGGGATGGAAGAGCAGAGCCAAGGCAGGCTTACTCATGCCCTGATCCTGGAAGCAGCTGGCATGTACAACAGTGGCTCTATGTGCCCCCCTCATCTACAGACTCTGGGTATGTCTACACTACAGCACTAATTCGAATTAGTTAATTTGAACAAAGCTAATTCGAGCTAACACATCCAGACCTAAAAACTAATTCGAATTAGCATTTTGCTAATTCGAACTAGCATGTCCACATTGAGTGGACCCTGAACCGAGGTTAAGGCTGGCCGGAACCAGTGCCGGCAGGGTATCAGGTTAGGACTTAGAGCGTGGAGCTGCTGCCTCAGGCTAGCCGAGGGCTGTGCTTAAAGGGACCCCACCCCCACTCTGGACAGACAGTTCTCAGGGTTCCCCGCTTCCTTGTCTACCTCGATGAGGGACAGCAAAGCAGTCCTGTCTTGGAGTGCCCTGAGTGCCCACACTGGGCACATCACAGCACTCGGCCATCAGCCCACCTGCACTTGCCACAGGCTGCCATCCGGGGGGGGGACAATCAGGGGGCTGTCAGGATCCAGGAGACCCTGCAGGAGAGCTTCCACCCCCAGGGACC